TATTCAGAAACCTAAAGTATGTATCAGCAGCAGAATGGAGCTAAAAATAAATGTTTGTTCCAGTTCTATGAAGCTTTGAGTATTTTGGATTAGTAGCACTGCTGTGTTTGTTGCATCATATTGCTGTAATTGTTTATATGCTTTATATATTCTGAGCTAAGTTGATCTATAGTGTTACATCATATTCTATAAGGATGTTATGTGTTTGTAGACTTTCTGCCCAGTTTGACCCATTTAACAGAAGTCAGCCTGTTTAAGGCTCTGATATCTATTCTGTATGACTTAAAGCAGTTATGACATGGTCTGATTTTCTCACCCAATAAAGGAATATTTCATATATCAGTCTACTCTTCATTTTATCAGAAACAGTTTATCACAGCTCGTACATTTTCTTTTTACACATATATGTAAGCATTGAGCCAAATTTAGTAATGCCAACATATTAAAAGAACAATATTTGTCTCTATATATATACATCTATATATCACTGTCACAGATACTTGTGTTTAAGTGAAGATTTAAGGTGATAGGAAATATAAATAAATGCAACTTGAATCTTTACTGAAGCTCAGTGTTTGGACACAGAGTTCATGTATCACTGCTGTAATAACTAATAATGATTAATATAATATTGGCCATATTATATTTACATTACCAAAGTGAGATGACTTTAGTCTCATGAACAAGATTAGCTAATTGTTATTTACTAGCTAATCTTAAATGACTGTTCAGTACAAAAATGAAGCCCAACAATCATGTTTTACAGTCCTGTGGTCTCAGCCTCAGATACTTATCAAATCACACAAAGCTCATGTAGAAACAAATGTACAAAATATGTTCTCCTTCATTTCTGTCAAACAAAGCTGTATGAAACGTTTCCAGCTGTTAGTATCATGGTTGCTAGGCAACCTGGGCAGCGCGACGGAGGCTAGACCGTCCCATTTCACAAGCCTACAACCCTCGCACTTCCGGCCTCAGCAGTCTTTGAGTGCGGCCCTTGAGGACCTTTAAGGCTGCAGACCCTGAATTGGGAAACAGTCCCTGAATTGGGATACAGCCATACATACATACATGTTTTGGTTCGTGCAACTGGTCCGTTCGGTTATTGTCTCCCCAGAAACATTTCCGTTGTCTTTTTTCCTATTTCCGTTGTGCTTTGTGTGCTTTTGCAGCATTTTTCTTTTTGCAGCGTTTTTGTTTTTGCAGCATTTTTCTTTTTGCAAGTGTTTTCTGAAGTTGCAGTCCGTTTGGCCTCTCAGGGCCACCGTACTTTTCGCCTGATCTAGAATTAAGCTGCATATCTGAGCCCTAGTCTTTTAAATGTCCCAATTCCTAATTAATGTAGCAGAGAAGTAGGTAGACGTTTCACAGCTTGCCGAGAGAGGGTGCATGCGCAGACGTTTTATGTTGGAGACTCGGAGAGGTCCGTCAGTAACGTGATTCCCGGAACGGTGCTCCTCACGGACAGTCAGTTTACTTTAGCGCTGTTTAGACCTTACAGGTGTAAAGTATTTACTAAAACGCGCACGAAAGAGTTTACGTGTAAATACGCGCGTCACTTCAGTCGTTAGATAATCAGTCCATTTTAATGCTGTTAGGTTGCTCATTTAGTGGAGTCCTACGGTAAAATACATTAAAACAGCAGAATATTTTACATTACAGTTTAAAAACCCTACGCAGATCTAATTAAAAAGTTAATCCACGCACACACAGGCGGGCTATCGATCAGCGCCCTGCAGCCAGTCAGAAATAAGGTAAACGAAAACAAATGCAGCGAAAAATTGAAATCGCAAAAATTGTTACAAGCGTGATACCGGAATTACAGATATTTTTAAGAACACGTGAGTGTTGGTTTTTATGAGCAGCGACTTTATGAGCAGTTACTTGCTCTTCCCAGCTGAAAATTCCTGCGCGCTCCCAGAGACACCGCCGTATGCTCATTTGAAATTAATCAAAGGGACGTGCTTCTTTATGCCACTAGCAAATGATGATTCTGTCTTGATGCATGCTCAATCATCCAGGTAAGGAAATTCCCCAAAAGTTGAATTTGTCCATCTGGACGAAGCGTTTTCAGTGACAGAAACGTTAGAGTGCCTAACGCCAAGGCGCCAAGTGCCTCTTCAGTCTCAAGTGACTGCAGGTTTCCCCAACCTTATAAAGAGTACCTTTACATAACGACTGAAACTAGCACCACTGGCTAACAATGGGCTGTGAAGTCAGTTTCTTCATTGATCAGCAGCCCCTGATCACAGACCATACCCTCCAGTTTTAGTTTAGTGCGGGATAAACAGGTCAGTCTGCTGTACTGTGATGGGTTTAAAGTAAAGAACAATGTGTAACTGGTGCACAGTGGCTGTGGTTTATGGTCAGAGTTAGGTACAGAAAGAGTAGCAGAGATTCATATGAACTATAGCTGATAATGCTTAGATCCATCGGCTGAATTCCACCTGCATACCAACTTTATACAGTCTAGTAAAAAGACAGCATAAGCAGTGTACTGTCAGTCTGGAGGATGGAAATTAGCTGGGACAACTCATGAAGCGTGCTGACATCTGGTTATATTCAGGAGCGTGGTTCTTAACACAACCTGTCGACAAAACAATGTCAAATAACACAGACTTATGATCTGAAAACACTGCATCTAAAATCATCAAGTTTAAAACAAGCAGGCTATAGGATGAGACAAGGTTCACTGTATGCCAACATGCATGTGCAGGCCCAGCCACCCACTGTGTGAGATTAAGCTAAGGCTTTTTAAAAAGTCATATAAGAAGTCCTTATTGTATTTAGGTGGACAGTAAATCACAACACATAACACTGGGTTAGAGCAGTCCTGCTCAAATAAGGTCAATTCAACACTGGAGGAAAATGAGGGAGAAAGCTGCTTACAGTCGTATATACTCCAAAAAACAGTTTCTATTCCCCCACCTTGGCCTGAAGTCTGGGGAGAATTAAATTAAGCACAGTTAGGCAGTGCCCAGTAGTATTCACTTGTCTGTAGTCATACACAAATAACCTTAAGTAACATTCCAATCTTAATCCATAGGGTTTAATATGGTGTTGACCCACACTTTGCTAATATAACAGCATCAGCTCTTATATTCAGGCAAGAAGACCTGGCTTACTCTATTTCATCCCAAAGGTGTCCTATGAGATTGAGGTCAGGATTCTGCGTAGGCCCGTCAAGTTCTTCCACACCAAACATGCTCATCCATGTTTTTATGGAACTTGCTTTGTGCAGTGGGGTGGAGTTACGTTGGAATAGGTGTGAATAGACTGCACAATAGACTGGAGGGTGTTCGCTCTGTGTTGTAGCGTCCTGATGACACCCAGTTTGTGCTCCAGTGGATGATGAGAGTCAAACCTTAAATACTGTTCTGAATATGTTGGTTTACGGTACACATAAACTCTTACATGTCCCCCATTACTGATAGAAATCTCAGAGTCTAAGAAGGCTAACATGTCATTTTTCATATCCTTCCTAGTGAAGTTGATGTGTTGGTCCACCAAATTAATGTTATCTGTGAATTGCAGTACGTCCTGAGATTTGATTTTTTACCCAGGTGTCATCCACGTACCTGAACCAATGACTTGATGGTGTTCCAGGGTAGGATAACAAAGCCCTCTTTTCCACTTCTTCCATGTACAAGTTGGCCACAATAGATGAAACTGAGGAACCCATGGCACATCCATGTTTCTGCCTGTAGTACTGACCCATGTATGTGACATTGGAGGGATTCGGACACAGTTCCAAGAGCAAACACACTTGGTTGGTTCTGAAAGTGGTCCTGTTTCTGTAATCTCTTACAAACTACCTCCACTGCTTCAGTGACTGGAACACGAGTGAACAGACATGTAACATCATACAAGACCAATATTTCATCTGCCTCCATAATGATATCACTTCCCTTCTCAACAAAATCCAAGGTGTTCTGGTTGTGGTGTTTAGAGCTGCCTGCCAGCAGGTTGAAGATCCAAGACAGAAACTTGGGTGACCAAGTTGATCACGAAGACAATTGGTCTTAAAAGTACACCCTGTTTATGTATCTTCGGTAAACCATACAGACTTGGTGTAGCTTCCCCTGGGTATAGCCTGTGGTATGAGGTCTGGTCCATAGTATTGTCTTCTTCTAACTGCTATCACCTTCTTCAAGTTCTCATATTTTGGCTAAAAATTTTTCTGCTAATTATTGTTGCCCCATAACTGACTAAACCTAGATTCTAGTACAGATGAAGAAGTGGCGTTTTGATTGTGCCTTGTTATTGTTGCACATTTAATAAATAAATGTTTCTTCTTAGTAAGATTTTATTATCTAAAATTTGTAATTCTATATAATAAATTTTATATAATATATTCTTAAAATAGTTTGTAAGAAATTATTATATAATTTTGCTGACAAAAGCAAAGCTGTCATGGGACTCTGCAGGCCGGTCAAAAACGACACCCTTACTACTTCCATAGGAATGCAAGGTAAGTAACGGCCAGGTGCTGATAATCCAGTGCACTTGATTAACTGATTATCAGCATGTCTGGCCACGTGTATAGAAGCAGAGGATTTGGCAGTTTGGGCTGGTCTGCAGCATTCAGGTGTATATTAACACAATGTCACAATCTTCCTAGGAGTGGATGTTCTAGCAAATTTGTTTGGGTGTTGTTTTGTGCTTGTTTTGCATCCACAGCATTCAGCATTCATTCTTGCAATCACTGAATCGACCATGAACTTTTTTGTATACCAAAGTTAGTCTGACACCTAAATCCACCGAAACTTGGTCTTGCAGCAGGACAATAATCCAAAGCACAGTTTGGCTGAAAAAAAAGAATCAAGGCCCAGTTCAGAACTCAGGGGACTGAAATGCTGTGGACTGCTGCAATATCTGCATAACTGCAAGATATTGCTGGTAAGGAGGATTTCACAATGGGTGTACTTAACCTTTGTTTTATTTCAATAATGTGTAAAGAGCAATAGTTTCCACACACATTAAATATGTGTGAAGGAAGTAAAACTGGTGCGCATATGACATTGACTTTTTATATGTTCAGTATAAAAACTCAACCTCTTCATCTGTACAACAGTCTAGATCAGATCATAGACTGTACTAACCAAAGCCTGCGGTCAACTGTCAAAGTAAGACCACCAAGTCCTTTGTTTCTTTAAGAATGATTACATGCAGGGTTAACAAGTTTAATAGCCTTTTATCTATAAATTGTTGTTTGCATGCCCACACTTTATGAACGTGGAGAAATTAGATTTTTTTTTTAAAGATATCTTAGCAGTATTTGTTTTCTGGAATTTTTTTTAGGACAGTAAAGTCTGTCTAAATGTTTTCAAAGTGTACTCAACTTCTCACCAGATTAAGAAAAGCAAACAATTTTTGTCTTTTTTTCCTTTTATATTACATTGTTTTGCAGTGGTCTACTTTAACATTTCTCTTTGTCTCTTTTTGTATCTTTACTGTGCTAAATAAGAACTGGTACTTCACTTTAGTATGCACAGGTACAATAGAAAATCAAAGTAAACACAACTTTACCACTGTTTGGTTTAATTTAAAAAGCTGCCAGGGTAGAGTGAGGTAGGTACTGAGGCAGGATATAGGTTGACCACTCATACTCATACCACTACATAGACACAAAAGTTTAACTGTGTGATTTCTGGTTTCACATACATCTCCACTGAGAAATGACAAATTATTTGGGGGTGAAGTGAACATTTGAAAAATAGTCTATTATATTGGTCATTTTTTTTATATTTAAAGTTTAATCATCATTTAATCTCTTCTCATTGTTCCATACAGATGGCAAAGCTGTGGCACGTCCTGCTCCTGTGTTGGGCATGGAGTCCCTTATGCCTTCCTTCCAGTGTGAGCTTCATTGGTACACCACAGGAGTGTGAAAAGGCTCACTTTGTCCCTGGTTACAACTTGGGTGGTGAAGGCTTTGACATTGTGACGATGGAGAGAAAAGGTGCCTATGTGATCGACACTGAAACATGGAAGATTGGAAATGGTAACTGTAGGATGTACTGTAACCGTTACATGAATGGAGAGAAGCAGAAGGTCCCTGTTGCTGTGGTGGACTGGAGAACCCTGCCCAAGTGCAGTTTAAAGGTCTCCAGTGTGGTCTATGATTCTGTTGAAACTCTTGTCAGTGACTCGACATCATCTGTATCCAACAACTGGACAATTGGCCTTGATGTCCCGGTAGATCCTTCAGCAAAGGTTGGGGTTGGCTTAGGAGGTTCTCACTCAAGAGATTCCACCTTTGCCATGAAAAAGTCAAAACAAGACCGCTACACCTTCTTACACCATTCGATCAACTGTAAATTCTATGGGTGAGTATGTCAGGGAATATTTATGGAAGCCCGTTTCCGAAACTCGAAATTTTGAGAAATGTAACTCGAAATTTTGAGTTAGCTCTGCCAATAAGTAATCTACGTGGAATGCGCACTCAAAACTGGATCGCAACAAATCGGTGCTTTCGAGAGTATGTTTGCTGATAGTAACACCATGTGATTCAGCTAATAACACAAGGATTTCATAATTTGTGAAGCCACACTGAAAATAATCAGCAATTTGTGCATTCAGGACTGACTGTAATACTGGTAGCTTAGCTGTAGCATTTGTAGCTGAGGGCTTCAGCTTCTGGGTAACAAAGAAATGACGTAATTCACATAGATTACTGATTGGCAGTGCTAGCTCAAAATTTGGAGTTAATAACTCCAAATTTTGAGAAAAGTAAGTCAAAATTTAGAGCTACTTTTATTCTAAATTTCGATAAAATAACTTTTGTGTTATGGATACATTTTTTTAGTGACAGAAATGCGCTTTTTTTTTATAATAACAAATTTTATTTCATTTGAATTTATGTGACCTCAAACAGATTTTCAATTATGTGTCACATATAGCCTATTTTAATTTTAAGTATGTAAAACATTACAGAAAAAAACGTCAGTGTAAAAAAGCCATATCATATATAGAAAATGTTCACAGTTATTGAAGCACATCGTTAAGTTTGAGTTTTCCTTGTTTCTGTGTTTGGATTAATTATTGTTCCTCAATATGGCTGGCAATGGTTAATGTATTTGGCAGATATGATGTAAAACGGATGACGAACATCTAGTTGACATGAACTCAATATGCAAACTTATTATAATGATTTTTAAGACAATGCTCCCTGGTGCAATATACTGTGAAAAGCTAAAAATGATGCCCTCCTGCTCCCAGTCTGTATACTTTGCTAAGCCATCCACTGGATCAGATTGGCCAGTGAGTCATATGTTTGACAACACTGTTTCTTAATAGTTTGCTGCCATTTCCTCTGCGATTAATAAAGTATTATGATTTGACTTAAAGGAAACAAAATCTAAGGTGATTCACTTTTCTGTGATATGCTTTTCTGTTCCACAGCTACAGACTGGCAACAAGTCCTCCTTTGAGTCAAGAATTTAAGTCGGCTTTGGATATTCCCCCTTATTCCTCTAAAACTGCGCCATTATATCACAATCTGATTGACACTTATGGAACACATTACATCACACAAGTGTCTCTTGGAGGTGAAATTAAAGCAACCACTGCTGTCAAGACCTGCATGGCTACAATGAATGGACTAACAGATACTGATGTTAGTGACTGTTTGTCAGTTGAAGCTTCAGCTACTTTTGCAAATTCTGCCCGTATTAAAGCAGAGTATGAACACTGTCAGAGAAAGAAAAACAAGTTGGGGTCTAATCAAAGTTTCAGCAGTTCATTTAATGAGCGGCGCACAGAAGCCATTGGTGGAGATATTGATGGAGGTGATATCCTCTTTGCAGGCCAATCTGACCCCTCGGCCTATAAAAACTGGCTCATTTCTCTTAAAAGTATCCCTGACGTGGTCCAATACAACTTAAAACCCCTACACACCATACTGCCATTAAATCATCCTGCCAGGGCGGGACTGAAGCGAGAAGTGGAGGC